TTATTATCACGTCTATGGCCTAGAGGTGTAATAACGCGATAAAAACCTTTTGATTTAACTAGAATTGTTAAATATGCCGCAGGGTACATTTTATTTACAGCATATATAATGACCGTGTTTGCATGTACAAGTTTCGAAATAAATAAAAATAATAAAGTGGTACAGAAATTACAAAACTAATTGTTTATCTTGGTCGTAAAAAATATATAAATGTATAAAATAAAATAATTTAAAATTCATTAATTAGTAATAAAATCTAATATATATATATATATATATATATATATATATATATATATACACACATTATGTGATGTCAACTTACAAACTCGTTACCATAATTTCATTATGCTTCTCTTTGGCATTATCATTATTATTTACAAAGTTATTTGTCAGATATTATTTGAACAAAAGAGAAGTGAATTCTATCACAAGCACCTTGTTAACTGTACTCCAATTCAATTTCAACTTCCAACTTATTAATATAACAGTTACGCAATTCGAGCCCTCGTAAACATCTACTTAGAAGTTTCAATGTTCAAGAAGCTCGATTTTCTATAGCTTTTAACTCAGCAGCTTGTAGGAGTTTAAGTAATAAGAATTTGGTTTCAGTAATAATTTGGTTATTTATCGATTATCTTGTTATCAGTATAACTTTAATTTATTTTCTTTTCGTAGCGTGAGTAAACCTGTGCATTAACGTTTCAAAATCTTTTTATTTGGACACAAAAATGTATTATGTATTTCGGACTAAAAGTAATTAGTTAAACATTACTTGTTAATTACGCATTGCAATGTTAAACACAATCGTTTTTGCATTCTACATCGCAAAGCTCGTAAGTTTTTTGTGAAGGCAGGTCCAGCTTTATTGGAGATTCAAAGGAAAATCAATGATAGATATGTAGCAAATATATAGTTTGATGTTTACATATCAAATTATCAGATGTATGTTCGCACACACACACATTGCAGAAAATGCGTAAATATTAAACAAAACTAAAACTATTTGGAATAACCAACATGGATTTTTTATAATTGTGTAGTAATATTATAAGATCGTTTAACTGCTTTATAAAATCTAGGGTTATATACAATTTATATAATTTTCTAACCAAAACTTTTCAATTTTCCTCTTATAATTTGACGATTTAATTAAAAAATATTAGAAAACTTGTTTTTAAATTGGTTTATAAAACAAAACATGTTTATCTTTTCAGTGTTCTGATACAAGAATCCTTCATCATTTAGAAATTATATTAATCAATTTATATTGACCTGTTTTCATCACAGACAGTCTATGAGTAATTAATGTAAGTGCGAGAGTATCTTCATAATACTTTCTGTGATTTATTCCTTTTCATCTTTTCAATAACATTTCAAATAGCGAGTCTTTGTAACGATTAATTTTATTTAATACTATTATAACTAGGTAGTATGAATAATGCAGAATGTATTAAATATAAAGAGGTTTTATTGTAGTTTGAAATCAGATTTAATTCGGACTCGTGCTATAATGGAGATAAAGAAAACTTTGTAAATCATAAGCGTAATGAATATCTTAACTAAAAATAATACTTTCTATCTGTATATAGTTTTGAGAGCCATTCAAAAAAATCTGAAAATTTGGCATTGAATTAGATCAAGTTTTCGCAAAAATATAAACTTCACACAGTACGTATCAAGATAAAATATTAGAAAATAATAAAAACATACACCGTTTGAAGACTTTTTTATTATTTGTAATAGAATTTCATTCATATATATATATATATATATATATATATATATATATATATATATATAAAATTTAAATTCCGTATATACTAGTTGTTTTGTCCTAGGAAAACTTTTGTTTTCCCAAAGAAATCACTGTGACCTATATAAGGTAATGGCAATGCGACCAACTTTATAGTATTAGGTTCAGTGAAGAAGGGCGTTTTGCCAAGAAATTGTATTGCTGCTTATTATATCTTTGCTCGTCTAGAATTTTTCGCCTATTTACTTATATTCAAGCCTCTGACCTGTGACCTATGCGACGATTTATACAGTCTATTCGACATTTACAAGAAAATATATAAAAAGTGTCTCATAGAAAAACGAAAAGTCACTATATCTGTATACATGTCTTATCTAATGCAACTTCCCCTTGTTTTGGAAAGACACCAAAGGCAAGCTGATAAAGGATTTCGCCATATATTTCAAATAAAACACTTATGTACCGTTATAACTTATAAAATTTGGATACTTCAGGATAACTTATCAAACAATTATGGATTTTCCATATTTTTATATATACTTAATTGATATTAGATATGAATAAAAACGGCTGTACCGATTTCCAAAATATAAAAACCAATTGAAGGAAGTCTATAGATTCTCGCGTTTATTAGTTTTGTACGTTGATCAGGCAAAACATTAAGAATCTCAAACTTGTTCGAAAACTATTAGTTGGAATTTGGGCTAATTAGTTTTTGGTAAAGATCGGCCGAGTTGTTTAATCGTGATTTTGGGAATTCTCTTAATAATTTCAAAGAAACATTGCCTAGTAATAGAACTCATGAGTTAAACAAGCTTAAAATACTATAGTTATATGAAACTAGTTTTATGATAATAAAATTCATTAAGTTTTATAATATTGGACTGCCCTTCAAGACATGCACCATGCAACTTAATAGCTAAGTAAGTTTTTACAAAGGTGTACCTACTTGTGACAATTTAATTCGTTTTACGTTAAGTGATTTATAAAATTGTAAAATCAGAAAAATCTGTGCAGAAAAAAATAAATAAGAAAATAAACAATTCAAAATTTTATTATCACGTTTTCAAAAATGGCTTAATTTCAATTCTTGTTGATTCGTCTAAGATTTCGTGAAACAAGCCTTAAACCAAAATGCCACTTACATTTTATATTAAATACGAACTAAGTGATGATACAATTAAATAGAATGAAAATATGAAGTTCAAATGATTTAAATACACTTTCGAAAGCAATAACTTTGATATTAAAATTTTACGTTACAATTCAATTAACGCTTCGCAAGTTGTCTCATCTGAAAAAAAATATTGTATATGCTTGAGCATATCACCTGAAATCAGTGTTCATAATAATTTAATTAAAATTAATATTAAGGCACATACTTTCAAATGTGTAACTTTATGAAGAATAACAGATTAAAAGTAAAGTAAATGCAAAAGTATAAAATTATATTAAATTTATACAATTTACATGTAACTACATTTTCATATGGCCAAGTTATTACTAATTGAAGCGGAAAATGAATAATAACATGAAATTAAACTGACTGAAAACTATTAGAAACATGCATAATTGGTTTTGTTTCTCACTCAACAAATTTTTCCCTATCACTAAATTTCTAATCAGAAAACTTTAGATTGAATCACATTCTAGCAAATCACGATGCCTTACTACTAAAAGCACAGGCCGTATTGGAAAACTTTGTAGATGTCGGTCGGACAACGATAAGTGGAGCGCGAACATAAATCACAAATAAAATAAATGACGTGCGTTGAAATAAACAAAGATGATTCCTGCTGAATCATAGACAAAATCGCAAAGAATATAGTTACAGATGTCACGACATAGTAAAGGATATTTCTAGTTTTAAGATTGTATCTTAAATCATCATAACTGTAAAAAATTGTTGAATACAAGTTTTATTTTGATATTGCTTCAACAGTAAAACTTGGATACGGTTGTGCCAGAGTACGGTAGTGACAGTCATCATAATATTCAAATATTCTGATTTTGACAAAGGGTCCAAAGAGAAAAACATGAAGTATGTTTGAACGAACAAGTTTCTATTATTACATTGAATCAGCGCACTACAATAACATGATCTGTAAACTGCTTGCTCTTAGAGAGTCATAAGAATTTTTTTATGTTCGGTATCATTTATAAGAAACTGTTACTTGTATACAGTTGATCATTGGTAGATAATTACCAGCAATTATTTTTTGCGTAGATAATTTAGTTCAGTCATAACTATGATTTGTTTTCAAAAGTGTGGCGTAGGGACACATTTCGTGACATTTATTTCTTGCACTCATTGAATAAAAATTTAAAAAATAAAGAAAAATCTAACTTGATAAAATCTAACTAGATAAAATACAAAAAAGGGAGAGAAAGGGAATTTCGACACAAAAACAGATTTCTTGTTAACTTTGTTTATAATAATATGTTTTATTATATACTGTTATACTATATTTATAAGCTGTGTTTATCATTTTTATCATTTATGATGTATTAAATAACTATGTTGTATAGTGTTACATATTTCTGACAATAAAAGTCGTTATAGAACATTTTGGTGTTTATAGCTATTGCTTTTTAACCTATGTTTATGACCGACCTGGGGGTGTGTACGGTTGTGACACTCGCCCTTTTCTTATATGATTTGAATTAATGCCTAATCTATTGTATTCAAGGATTATATGTTAGTATTTCCACGTGGACAAATGTTCAAATTACCTAAATTAGTTTCCTCTCAGCTAACTCTTAAAAAACAAAATTAGTGTTCATCAAAAAAAAGTGACACACGACTAAACCCAGTCTCTCCTAATACTAGCCATTGAAACTTACCTACTTTTTTTAAAATTACTTCTAACCAGGTACTGTTGTTAGATGAAAAGCAAAGTAATCTGATTTTTAAAAAAATATTTGAAACAATTTGTTTTACTTGATTTTGGTCCTCAAATTTATTTATCAATATAATTTTGAAAATAAAATAAATTTCGATTAAAAAACTGTACACTGTAAAACTCATGAACAATATTGAAGATACTCAAAAGCAAACAATACAATAAAACTGTAGAACGCATGTTTCCGCAAAAATATTTCCAGATGAATTATATGACGAGATAACGAATTTAAACTTAGAATGAAAAACATACATTTTTTTAAATATTATACTTATTGTTATTACTAGTTAATTAAATTGATTTTTTTGTTTATTTAAATATATTTTTCAATTTTGTTTCAGCTGGATTTACAACTGCAAGACGAAGCTGGTGGAGATATAAGTAGTTTTGTGACAAACGGAGAATGGGAACTAATCGGTAAGAAATTTATTAAATAATATCAAATAATATTATTTGATGAGTGTATCACTCACTTAAACTTATAAGCCACACATTAGTAAATAATAATTTGTGATTATTGTCGTGTATAAAAAATATACAAATATGATCAAATTTGATAATAATTTCAAACTTATCAAATTGGGAGTGTAAATTTTAGATATTAAACTGTGATATGTATCTATACATTGTAGGTTAAAATTATAGATATGTATACAGAAATGTTCGGTTGTCGTCTATCACTGAACTGTCGAACCATAAATAAATGATTGAAATCATTCGTTACAGATCGGATCTTTACTGTTTATCTAGCGCTGTTGCTTGATTGTTGAAGCCCGAATTGGTTTTGCTTAATGGATTTGCCGTTCGGCTTCATTATTTGTATTAGCGAGGTATATAAGGGCAAGTTGTTCTGTAAAACAGAAGTGTATTATCTTAGGATAATTTGGTTTCCATAGAAAAACCATCCTAAGAGGAGTGCTATCGGGCCTTTGAGCACTTTCAATCGAATTTTCTTAATGTTGAATATCCATTTAGTTCTACTTCAGAAACTTAGTTTTTATATGCTACCATATAAAAGTTTAAATGTCAAGAATATATATATATATAATTTTCACAAAAAAACTGCATTAAATTCGAAACAATTCTATTTAAAGGATAAGGTTGTTGAATTTGTATCCCATAAGATGATAATTCTATAATATATAGTGGATTTAAATGGATAGATTATCTTTGGCGTCTATTGAATATATATTTAGTTGACTTTTAATTAATAAAGATTATCGATTATTTTTTCCTTTATTAACTTCCCGAAGGAGAAGTTTATGTTTTCATAAAAAATCCGATTCGCTAATTTTATGTTTTCTCGACGTTTCAAGCCATTCTGAATCGAATGAGACCAAATTTGGAAAAAGTATGTGTGTGTATGTGTGTGTGTGTGTGTGAACAGATTTCTTGTCGTAAATCGACGTTTTCTCAAAAACAGTTGGACCCATTTCAAAAATTTAAAAGCCACTCGATGTATTTCGATGAGGACAATTGTTTGTCCTTTTCGTCTACGTTTTAGTCCGCAATTCTGAATCGATTTTGAAAATTCAAAAACCGTTCGAAAGATATTGGTAGGGAATCGTGCTGATTAGTTTTTGGTAGAGATCAGCCGGGCTGTTTTCTTGTAATAAGGTGTTAAACAAATTTTTTTCGTCGATTTTTATTATTATTTTTTATGACGGTAGATACCATAGTCTTCTAGATCATACTAAAATATTACGGCCCTACGACAACTCGTATAGCTTTAAAAATTCGTCAAAGTTTGCAAAAATTAGTATGGTCTTTTTGGCATTTGTCAAATTTAGAACTTTCATCGACGTTTGCATAAAAACGTCTGAACCGATTTCAGAAATTTAAAAACCATTTGATGAATTTCGATGAGGATTATCGTTTCTCAGCTTTGTGAGACGATCGGCCGAGCCGTTTCTTTGTAATTTGGAAAAAAGTGTTAAACATTTCGTCCACATTTAAACTCATACTACCGAATCGATTTTAAAAAATCAAAAACTGTTCGAATGATATTAGTTGGGAATGATACTGATTAGTTTTAGGTGAAAATCTACCAAGCCGTTTTCTTGTAATTAACGGTTGAAAAAAAAATTAAGCCGATTTTCATGGAACTTTTTTTGGCGATATATATCATGGTCTTATAGAACTTACTGAAATATTACAGCCTCACGACAAGTAGTTTAATTTTAAAAATTTATCAAAGTTTAAGAAAATGAGTAGCTCTTTTGACATTTGTTAAAAATAAAATCAGACGATTTACTTAGTATAACGATAGTGTACTTGGTCTTAATGAACATACTAAACAATTAAAGTCTTACAAAAAATTGGCTCAATTATAAAAATTATTGATTTTTTAAAATTTGCTTCTAGAAATTACTCCGAGTTCGTGTTTGTTCGTTTTCAATTGTGTATAAGAAATCCACTTGGAATAATTTTAATTACTCATAAATTAATTTATTTTTTATTAAATCGATTATTTACACTTATCGGGAAGTTCAGGTAACTTGTTAATTTACACTTATCGGGAAGTTCTATCAGAAACGCCTGAATAGCAACCACATGGATTTTGAAAGTATTCAGTACAATTTTGTATGAGAAGTGCTAAGTACCACGCAACCTGCGAAACATTGGTCTATTTTACGGCAGAATCGGTTCCTAAATCTATTCTAAAAAGGCGAATAAATACTCGGCTGATTACAAAAGTTGCTTCTTTCTCAATATTAATCAGCTCCAAAAGTTCACATCTTAATTGCTTTTTATCCGACCGTAAAAGGGAAGATGGAGCATAGAACTAATAGAATTTTTTCTCATCCAGGCGTAATTACGTAAGATCACGTACTAAGAACAATTGAACCGTTCAGTACATCTCAAGCAAATAACAGCCACTGAAAGTGGAACGCGAGGAGACGTACCCTGCGATTTTATATGTGTATGCCGCACCGTCGGCAATATCGACTGATTCTTACTGTATATTGAATGCAATATTCTTTCGTCTTCATGTGGTGTATGTTTGAAAAAAAAAGAACAAAATGAACGAAAATTCGATTAAAACAACAAAGAAGATTTCATCAAATGAGTAATCGGACGGAGAGAACTTTAAGCTCATTCCGTGCAGATATCTATTTATAATTAACCCCGCTTTTTCAATTTCTTTGCATAAGATGTGTATACATAAATCAACATTAACTTCTGACAAAGACTTGACAAAGGTGGTGAAATAGGTTGAATAAAGTCCTATATTCAGGATAGGAGTATTTCATACTTTGCAACAATTTAGCTTATGTCAACGTCATCGCAATGATTCATATCAAATAATATATTACTCTCTCAGAAGTTAATAGAAAAATGAGCTTATGAGATGACATTTAGATATGTATGGTGACAACTATAGGTTCACTGCGAACTGTTACGTATACTAACTAACTATACGTAAAAGAAAAAGAACAGTATCACACTTGATTTCACCTCACAACATAATTTCTTTAATAATTTAGTCTATAATTTTCATAATCTCGTGCGATATATTAGTTACTTTTTGGCAATTATAATTTCTAAAGTACATTTTTCTTACTAATATTTTAATAAACATTATTGTTTATGTTCAAATCTGAGGTGAATTAATTTGTAGAATTTAGTTCATACGAGCACTCTTCAATATAAGATCATCTTGCTAAATATTCTATATCCAATGCCAAAGAAATGAATTTTTGACACATGAATAAAATTCAAAATCATTTTTTTTTTAATAAGTATAAATAATTTTGTGTATTGTTAAGTAATTTAGTAAAGTATACCAAAATACGACATGAATTATTTTAAAATAATATTAAGTATATGCAATTTTGGACTTATTGCGTTATTTGATGAACTGAATTATTTAATTTCATAAGCCAAACATATACTGTTGACTATCTTACATTATTTTAATTTCTTGTACATCTCAGCTGCTATTCGGCAATAGTAATGTAGATATTACATTTCTCTTTTATATTATATTCTAATATTATCTAAGCTCATAATTTCAGCTAAATTCAAATTTCAAGTATATTGACATTTCCAGCATATGGCAGTTCAAATGTTTTTAATGTCAAACAATGATAAGTGGTTTTATGTGATTTTTAACTTTCGGTAGGGTAAGTTATAGTAATCGCAAAGAAATCGAAAATGACTAGCTGTAAGTGGAATTCTGTCTTAAGGCAATTAGGGCATCGTGCCTTAAGGCAAATTGCTGGAACTTCCCGTACCAAAAATTATTATTTTTTCAAAAACGAATAACATTTTTGAAAAAAATTTACTTCGAAAAAAATAGATTTTTGAGAAACTATAAATTTGACAAAAAATTACTTTTTTTAAAAAAAAAAATTTTTATTTGAAAAAAAAAAATTTTTTTTTTGAGAAAAAATTTTTTTTTTTAAAACAATAAATTTTTTTGAAAAAAAATGTTTTCTTCATTTTGACATATTTTGGAAATTCTGAACTTTTTTTCAAAGCAATCGCACTGCTTGAACTGCATAGAGACGAAATGTCAAAGCTCGCAAGTGCCGCGCCGCCATCTAACGCATAAGCATTGGTACGGAACCCATAGAAATGTAAAAAAAATTATAAATTTTTGTTAAAATCTCTATAAAATATCTGATAATTTGATGTGCATATGTCTAATGATCATTTTTAACCGCCGAATGGCATTTTTTTTTACTTTTTTCATTAGATCTCCGAAACCGCTAGACCTGCCTTCATGAAAATTTGATCAAATCTACATCTTGTCAATACAAGTAAAATATTTTTTGAATTTTTCAAATCGGACGCTCCGTTCTCTTAAAAACTGAGTTACCGTTTTCGGCACTTTTTGCCCCGTATCTTCGGAACGGCTAGACCTGCCTTCGCCAAAAACTAATCAGCACGTCTCCTTATCAATACGAATCGAATGTTTTTTGAATTATTCACATCGGTTGATCGGTGTTCCCGAAATCGTCGACGAAAATTTGTATCCGCACATACATACACACACGTACATACATACACACACACATACACACACACATACACACACACATACACACACACATACACACACACACACACACACATACATCCATTTTTTCTAAGGTATGCCAAAATGTTCAGAAACCTCTGAAACGTAAAGATATATAAAAATTTTCATTTTCGATTTTTTTGCGATTACTATAACTTGCCCTACGGGAAGTTAAAAAATTTTTATATATCTTTACGTTTCAGAGGTTTCTTAACATTTTGGCATACCTTAGAAAAAATGGATGTATGTGTGTGTGTGTGTGTGTGTGTGTGTATGTGTGTGTGTGTGTATGTATGTATGTATGTACGTGTGTGTATGTATGTGCGGATACAAATTTTCGTCGACGATTTCGGGAACACGGATCAACCGATTTGAATAATTCAAAAAACAT